ACTAAATTAGAAAAGTGGTGTAGAGTATCATAAAGTCGGCCCCGTCCGACTTTAAGACTTTCTTTACTGTTTTCTTTTTGTTTAACTACAGCCAAAAAAGGTGTTTATTTTTGTGCCACCTTGTCATCAAGCATGAACATGAAATATCTTGTCCACTCTTTCTGATATCTCCAACAGAAGAGTAAGGAGTTTGTCGCCTTTGCGGAGACATTTGTTTTCGATTTTTTATAAATCATTTCACACCCACCAATGCTGTTATCATCTTTGCTTTTTAAATGCAGTGTCATCTTTACATCTCTATATATTTTTATTATATTTATTTATTTATTTATTTTTTTTTTTTTTGAAAACACTGTTCAGTCTTTGGCTCCCCTCCCTTTCCCACGTAGCCAACCTATTAAAATTGAAGTTCATGCCATTCGTGAACTTTGTTCTGTATTCTTTGTGCACCATTTCATTGGCCAACAATGTCAGTTAGCTAGAGTGCAGCTCAGTTCATCGCTTGGCTATAATGGCGTGCTGTATGGCTCACTCAAACAACAGCCATTTTTCGGTGGAAATTTAAATGATTCATTCATGCAACAAATCATCAATCGATATGTTGGGAAATTATCGAAGATTACTAACCAAGTGTTGACTGGTGGTGGCAGCAATGAGTTACAATGACGTAAAAACAGTTTGGTAAATTTCCAACTCATGTGGCTAGGCTATTTTCCCATTTACAATCAGTGGAATAATTTTTGGATTGCCATACGTCCATTTTTACCCTGTTGCTAATTATTGTTTTTTATTTCACTTAATAATTGAGTTATTTGTCCAACCAAAAAATATCGAATATAATTCGATGACCCTTAAGTTAGAAATAGACAGATAATTTAATTTGTGGTCAATGCACGGTAATGTGTTTCGAATTACAAGCCAAAAAGTGACAACTGTCAATGACCTACATGTTTCAAAAATAGAGAATGTTTTGTATTAAGATGCACACATTTTTATTTTTGGCCAAGAATCTATAAAAAAGTCGTAGGTTTGGAAATTTAGTCAAAATAACTGGTGGGAAGTTCTTAAAATAAAAGGCGAAGAGTACGAAAATAAATAGCATTGTCCTTAAAACGGGTCATTAGACTAGAATTTTTTAATTTTTATATTAAATAAATACAATTGTTTCTAAATCTTAAATTCGCTATAAAAAAAACGAAAACTACAAGCTTGGGTATATTCTCAAAATATAAAATATATAACATTGCATCGATTCTAAGTAGTGCATACATTTCAGGCAGCATCAGTTATGGCATCACTTCAAAATGCTCTTCAGGATGTTCAAACTTCTTAAATATACCTAGTATTTGCTCCGATCTATAACTTGCAAGAATCTACAAGTTTTACGATATCATAAAGGAAAAAGTGGTTATCGTAGTAAAAACATTTTATTTCTTGCATTTCTGGAACAAAGCTATTGTCTACCAATGCTGCTCAGGCTACAAACATATTGTAACAAATTCTAATTTGGGAAATATTATGCTACCAAAGATTTTAAAAATAGGGTCTAGTGTTCGTGCTAGAGACCTGTTCCCGACATGTAGGATGGACAAGTTGCGCTCATGATCAATTCGTTACTTGACTGTTTTATATATTGCTTACATCTCCTACGATATCCATACCACTTTGAGCTAAGGAAAAATAATTATCATATAATTTGTGGTTCGTACGAATATTAAATTCTGTTTTCTACACTGGAGTCAATACCGCCGCCACAAAACGACAAATAACTGATAATAACCAGCTATAAGTCCCGCTCTCCATACAAGCTTCCTAGGCTTAGCATTTTCCAAGTTTATAGCCAGCTTGTATTTCATATCAAGCTTCGAACTCATAGAAGGTTTTAAAGTGGTAGCCAGATCAATTTCCAAAAAACGAACTCTATCCTGACAGCTACTCGAATATTTCCCGGTCCACGACGGCCCTAATACACCTGAACCAAGAGGAAACCGAAAGGACAGCAACACGAATACTCATGTTCGAATACTTTATCTCAACAGTAGAGTAAACATGTTCGCGTCGACCAAAACACGAAGACAGTCGAGCCGACAGAAAATCGAAATTATTCGAGCCGATTTTAAACTAAATACTCTAATTGCCTTCGTCAACTGCAAGACGAATACTCCTTAGCAAACATCAACCCAAATATTTTCGAACTCTTCCGAATCGACAGCAACCCAAATATTTCCGAGCCGACTGCAATCCGATTACTTTCGAGCCAATAGCAAACCACACAATAATCTTCAAGCTTACGGCAAGTCGAGTATTTCTAAGCAATAAATAACCATTTGCACGATTAGAGAAGTCGGATCAATATCAACAACTCCGTATTACCCACAAATTATTCGCGTTATTATAAATCCTGGCATCAGAACTTAACTTATTTTTGAAGTGTATAATGATGTCTACAACTTGTCAGGAACTCCTTAGTTGCATTATCGAACTGCAGTCCAAATATCTTCTCTATATCATGTGATGTTACTTCATACTTGTTGTTACAAAGGGGAAAAAAATATTTTTATAAAAATTATCTGAATTCCACTTTAAACTACAAATACCATTTGGATAATGCTGTTAAATCTTTCAAAAAACCATAAGGTGGGTTAGGCCGTTATATGGAAGCCATACCAAAACGGTAACCTCTGTAGACTATTTTGTACTTCAAGGACTGTCATATACCAAATCTTCTAAAATAGCAAATTTGAAACAATTTCGTGGGTAAATGTGACTAGGATTTTCAAAATACCTAACATCGGTGGATATCGTTTTATGTGCGCTATACGAAAACGTGGAACTAAATATTTAATGTTCTACAAAAACGTGGACAGATATATCTCATTTTCAATACCAACCTTTCTGGACACAATACAAATTGTTCTGCCAAATTTTGGACTATAGGTCAAATAATGTGGGATTTCAATAGACACACAGGCAAACGAACATCGTTAAATCGACTTGTAATTTTATGCTGATTATGGGGTCTACGACGAAAATTAAGGGATGTTACAAACGGAGTGACAAAGTTAATATACCCTCCTTTCCAAGGTGGAGGGTATAAAAATATAATTTTGATACAAAATATAATAAAATGGATAAATAAAATAAGAAAATATCGGTTCATTTCGAACCTTCCCTATAAAAAATTGATTACATAGTTATGAACCTAAACAAGAAATCATATATTATGTACAAATGTCCTCAAGTTTTGTTCTCCCACAACGAACTATAACGCAGGGGGTTTAGATACATATATCCCAGAATGAACCTATATAATATTCGAGAACAAATATTTATTATAGTTATCTATCCATTTAGAAACATATTTTTTGTCGGGAATTTTAAATTTTTGGTCTAGTTTGAAGCAGCGACATTTTTATCATTTGGGGTCATATTCTGTAAAAAGAACTTTAAATGATTATACTCAATCACCTTCGTACTGTGTATTGATAAAACCCATGGTAGAACCCATGGTACAATGAAGAGAAGGTAGGGCAACTTTGAAAAAATTGCAAGTATAGAGGTCTACCTGTTTGGCTTGTAATGTCAGAATTAGTATCAAAACAATAAAAAATCAAACAACTTGTTGCATTTATTTTGAATAAATAATTGAAAACCGCGATAAATGAATGAAAGGTCAACACTTCTTTTCAAAATAATGTACTATATATCTCTAAAGGATTATTTCGCTACAAAAACTCTAGATTTTGTCGATGCATACGTTGAAATAAACATTTTGAAAACACCCGAATTTGAATCTTTTCTAAACAATTTTTTTTGTTATTGAAAAGAAAACACATACATAAACAAATAAAGATGACATATTAGGCCAAGAAAATAAAAAAATTGAAATCATATGGTATCATGGTAGAAATACCAGGTAGCAACATAGGCGAAAATTACAATAAAGCAACTTTTTTGGAAACTTGATATGTCAAAGTTGTAGTCAGGGCGAATTGATTTGAAGTACAAAATTTGGGGCAAATTATTTTTCCAATCAAAATATTGAATTAAAATTTTCAAAATTGTTGTTTTTTCTATTACAAAAGCAAATATTCAAAACTTCCAACATCGATTGAAAGTAATGCTGAAGCCGCTGCATCTTGGTTTGATTATAGCACGTTCAATACAACATTTTTGAAAATCACATAGACTGGAAATGGAGTGATTGTAGTCTCCAGCGCGCCAACGAAGGACATTTGCGATAATAGATGTCCAATCGTTGTTATCTCTTCATCATCCTTACACAGCATACAGTCTTGGTAACGTTGGCAACGTTGATTTCATATTCAACAGCGATAATGTTCTTTAAAGGAAATATCCGGAAAATTATTTTTGATGCTTTAAAATTAGGTTTTGTGGTGGTTCTGGGGTGTACCCTTTTTTCTTTTGCTACATCGTCAGCTTTCTCGCTGTAGTGACATGCTACCTAAAAGGTACTTTATATATTTATATGAGGTATATTTACTCCTCAGGCTTACTTAAGATTTGGATCATTCACCTTTCACTGTTGAAGACCTATAGTGTATAACATAGTTGAAAATCCGTACAAATAAGATGATGAAATTCCATGTATCGGTTTATTTCCTAAATGAAATTGATTCCCTGTTTCACTTATTTCAAATATCCACGAATTTTAGATCTCCATATTACCTATGCCTACCATATGTTGAATATACACTTTTTCCCTCATACTCTATAAAAATGTAAAATCTCGATTTTCTATCAATAGCATTGTTAAAGTTTGAAATCATGCAACAATTTTCTTATGTGTAAATGAAGGCGAATTCAAATTACAACAATTTTTTGACATATCAAATTGATACCAGCTGGCCTGAAAGGGTTACCTTGTAATTCTACCATGTATGGTATCATAGCCCTACCTTGATATCATTGTACCATGGTAGAACCTATCAATTTTGTAAAATTTTTATTTACTATTATTGACATATATTATTTTTTAATAATATTATTTTTTTTGTTTTAATTTAGCATTCGAAGAACAAATCTACAGAAGAAGAATACAGAAGAAGAACAAATCTAACCCATGACGGTACTTAAATCCTTAGGTCATCTAAATTTTTACCAATAATAATGATCGCCTTTTTTCATTTCAGTTATCAAGAGAAATGCAAGATGCCATCGATAAATGTGCATTTTGTAGTGACCTCCTTCTTGGCATGACTCACGGAAGAAATTTCCATGGTTAAACGTTTTCGGCCAACAGGCTTCGCAACTAAATCATTGCAGTTGCTGTTGTTGTTTGTAGTTCAACTGGAAAATCTATTAATCATAATTGATGCAAATTGATTCCCATCCCACAAATGAAAACGAAGCGGCACTATATCGCCAGTTTTTCTTTTCTCAACAACAGCCATTTTTCAAACAATGCCAAATGCAGACAGACTACGTCCGACGAGGCAGCAACAAACAGAAAGTTACCTCTTATCGAAGGCACTAAATTTTGGTTTGTGTAAATTTCATAATGACAATGCAATGCGACGATGACAACTACAGCGACGATGGTGAAGGCGACGAGTAACACCGAAAAGTAGGCCAAAGAGAAAATCTGCAGTTGCAGCAGCAACAACAAACGGCAATCACCAGCGGCGGTTATTAGAAAAAGCGGCACAATTCGCATGCAATAGAAGTCATGCAGGCATTTCGTACACTTTCTAATGTTGTTGCAAAAACCAAACCAAAACAACAGCAACAACGACAACGACAACAAATAAGTGGAAACGGGGTAAGTAATGCCAATAGCAGCAGTTGGATGCACATAATCCTAGCCTCCATCTCCCCCCATTGTTTTGCACTGCACTCGTCCCTGGTTCGACCGCCTAAATAGAAAGCAAATGAAAATTGCTACCATAATACCTGAGACCAATATCTGGTATCGCATATCCGCAGAAGCTTGGCTATAACAAAACAAAAACAATGTAATACCATACATAAGTCCGACTGCATCGATTCTGCACCAAACCGATATGGATGTTACAGTGAATGGTTGGATGGGCGAAAGCGGAGTTGCTGGAGAAATGATAAACGGCCAGAGATTGTATCATGTTGACTGTGGCCTAACACCAAGGCAACAATAACAACAACATTCGAAACATGGTACACATTCACTCATAATTATTGCCAATGTTGCTAAATTGTTCCAATGAAAATTGTTTTGATTTTCACAAATTTTTCGAATTTTCAAATGGCATAAAATTCTTAGATAATGGGAATTAAAAATCCAATTCGTGATCTCTTTACTCAAAAGAATTTTGGTTGTTTAAGTTTTCAACCACATTATAGCTTCTATGCGATCACATAATTTCAGTCATCATTCAGCTTTGTATTTATTTTTAAAAGGCCGATTTTGGCTTGCTCTCTTCATCTCAACATTTATTTGAACTACAAAATCTTTCGTAGATGTTCCGCATAATTTTTTGGGAAGATCTTCAGTCCTTCTATGTGGAGACCTACCGGCCTTCTATGTGAAGATCTGCAGGCCTTCTATGAGGAGACCTTCCACCTTCTATGAGGAGACCTTCCGACCTTCTATGAGGAGACCTTTCGACCTATGAGAATACCTTCCGGCCTTCTATGAGAATACATTCCGGCCTTCTATGAGAATATCTTCCGGCCTTCTATGAGAATACCTTCCGACCTTCTATTAGAATACCTTCCGGCCTTCTATGAGAGTACCTTCCGGCCTTCTATGAGAATACCTTCCGGCCTTCTATGATGAGATCATCCTGCCTTCTATGAGAATACCTTCCGGCCTTCTATGAGAATACCTTCCGACCTTCTATGTGAATACCTTCCGACCTTCTATGAGGAGATCATCCGGCCTTCTATGAGAAGACCTTCCGACCTTCTATGAGAAGACCTTCCGACCTTCTATGAGAAGACCTTCCGGCCTTCTATGAGAAGACCTTCCGACCTTCTATAAGAAGACCTTACGTCCTCTATAAGAATACTTTCTGACCTTCTATAATAAGACCTTCTGGTCTTCTATGAGAAGACCATCTGGCCTTCTATGAGAAGACCTTCTGGCCTTCTATGAGAAGACCTTCTGAGCTCTATGAGAGCTCTGGCCTACTATGAGAAGACCTTCTAGCCTACCATGAGAAAACCCTCTGGTCTACTATAAGAAGACCTTCTGCCCTTCTGTGAGAAGAACTTCCGGCCTTCTATGAGAAGACCTTTCTGGCCTTTTATGAGAAGACCTTCTGGCCTTTTATGAGAAGATCTTCTGACCTTCTATGGGAAGACCTTCTGGCCTTCTATGAGAAGATCTTTTGGCCTTCTATGAGAAGACCTTCTGGCCTTCTATGAGAGGATTTTCTGGCCTTCTATGAGAAGGTCTTCTGACATTCAACTCAATATCTTTTTTCATATTTGCTATTGCTGCTCCACTATTTAAGATGTGCAAAGTTTGAAAGTTTCCAGCAAAACAAACACACAGACAAACATTAGCATCACGACGTCCTGAACCAATTTCGTCCACGGGACTTTCCAATTTAATTTCAATGGGACACATTTTATCCGTATCAAGTGATAGATATCCGAACACTAATACATATTAAGCGATGCAAGTTCGAAAATATTTAGTTAGGAATCCTTCTCTTGCAGTTTACATTTTGGTATGATCCTTTTTTGGATCTTTGGAGGTGTTCCAAGACTTACAAAAAAAACATATTATATTATTAGTATGAAAACTGCCCGGTTGCTTTGATTTTTCCTCAACCCCAAGATACCTATGTACTTCTGTACCAAATGTTTAGAATTTTGGTTCAAGCGATGATTTCCAACGATAATTTAAATAATTTAAATATTGTCTTATTCGGAAGAGTACGTTTCAATTATCATTTCTCTTTGAGTTGGCAACATTGTTCATGTAACAGTATTTGATTGCATCGTTTTGCACAAACGGATGTAAGTCGTCGTCGCCGTCATAGCAACAAAGACTATTCCAAACATCACACACACGCACACAACTATCTAAGCCGCTGTGTGCAGCATGCAATGAAGCAACAGTTGTTGCAACAGTGAATGTTCGTCGTGTTTCAGTTTAAAAAGTGTGTTAACTTGGATAATTTCTCTTTTGCCATAGCAGCAATTGGAGATTTTCTTTTCATTTTGTCTTTCATCAGCCATTACTTAACGAATTTTCCATTTTCCATGAAGTGTCTGTAAGACCGTCTATCTGTCCGTGGGTCTACTTGCAGTGTATGTGTGTTTGAAACTTGTTTTCTACTTCGACATAATGGCTTTTCCTTTTTGCTCTTTCGGGCCAACTGGTTGCTAATCATTGCCAAAGCCAAATGCCGGATTGCATTCATTGTCAGTGTTAGCGAAAAAGTTGGTCATGTTATCCATTCAAATGCATTGTGTCGATGTCAATGCCAGGGGTGGGGTGGGATGAAAAGCAGCGCCGGGTGGGGAAAACAAAGAGGCCGAGTTGCTCTTTTGGTGGAAATCACGATCAGTGTCGAGTGCAGTCATGCCTTGACACAAGACACAGAGGCTTGCAACACATTTTTTGTTTTTGTATGGAGTTGCATTGAAATGTTGATAATTAGATTGTTGTTACTACAACAACTTTTGCTGATGCCTAACATGTAGCATGGTGTGTATGTGTGTGTGACTGTGGCACAAATTCGACAAAAGAAAAAGTAAAATTACACAAACCATTCAAACGGCAATCGAGGATTATTTCATTTTAATTAATTTCTGTAATCCGTTGGTGTTTATAAATCGCATCTGTAGATTTTTGTAATCCATCAAAGGAAATCTGTTTCTTGTTGGATTATGTCTGAAAATACATTTTATATTTGAATATACAAATTTTAGCAAATGCTGATACATACTGCTATATAAGTAACTCTAAAAAGTAATAATTTTTTCAACTATTAGATTTTTTTTCTGAATTTTCAGTTGCTCTACAAGTCACAATTGGGTGAAAAATACCAATATTTTAATATTCAAACTTAACCTCTTAAGAGGTCTTAACCTCTAATATTCAAACACGAATATTAAAGAGATTAAGCCTCTTACCGCTGAAATCACAACCACATAACGAGCACAGAACAAGGCTCTTTACACGGATACTAATTTCGCTGCAGTCAGATATCGAAAATATAGCAAAATACAAGCTGGAATCTTTATTTCCAAAACTGTTTCAAATTCCCATTGGCACAACACAGGGCCGTAAATATGGTCAATTGTCCCAAATGTTGCATAGTCTCTTGGATACGGTTAAAACGCTAGATAATATATTTGCATGACTGTACAGGGTAAGATAAGGAAAAACTGCAACAAAGTCAAACGCCATAATTTTTACATTTTTTTTTTTTTTTTAATTTTATTGAATGAAAGCAAAAATGTCGGAAATAGCATCTAATTTTAGAATAACTTTAGATTTGTTCGAATTGGTCACCTTTGGCACGAATTATGGCCTTCAAACCGCCAATGAAACCGCCACACGATGCCCGATGTTGCTCTGCGGTATTTTAGCCATTCCCGGCGAAGCGCTTGCTTGAGGTGATCAAAACTTTGGTATTTTTTAAGTACCAACCTGCTTTCCAAAATACTCCAGACACATTAGTCCAACGGATTGTTATCCGGAGATTTTGGTGGTCATTGTGCGCTGGAAATGAAGCGAGGAACCTCATTTTGTAACCATTCTTGGGTGGTGGCGCGTGCTTAGTGTGATCGTGCGATGGTAAGGTCTGCGGCCAAAATGTTTGAGTGTCCAAGGCTTTAATACATCCTCCAGGAATATTTTCGCTATAATATTCGGCTGTTATGGCGGCCCTCACCATCGCCATGGCCGGCGCTTGAGTCCTGATGACCAGCCGAAGGTACACATTTTCAGATGACCTCTTTGGCAAGTAAACACGATCATTTTGTTTGTTTACAAACTGCTGGACAACGAATGTTTTCTCATCGGAGACGGAGAAAACCAAATTCGGCAGTTCACCACTTTCGGCCAAGCGAAGCAACTCTTAAGCTCTTTTGAGGCTATTTTCTTTTTGTTGCGGTGTAAGTTTTTGCACTTTTTGGATTTTCAATGCTTTACCTCGAGCTCATTTTCAATATTGGCCGAATGAACTATTGCGATATGTTCAGCTCCTGAGCCACTTTTCGCCACGGCGACGCGGGTTTCGATCAAGTCGCTTCTTTACTTTTTAAACCATTTCTGCTGATGTTGCTGTTTTCTTCCGTCCACTTACTTGACGTCGGGCTACGCTACCAGTATCACGGTAACGAGCGATGGTACGAGACACAAAAGATTTATTCACATTTAAATGCTGGAGTGTTCTATCGATAGGCACTTGTGGTTTTCAGCCAAATATAAAGAAATCACACTAACACGCTTGAACTCCATTACGAATAACTCTGTTTCTGGAAATGCTTTTGTACGCTTGTAAACAATATAATGAGCTATCACTGGAATAATTTTAATAGCTGTCGGACGAGTGGCTCATAAATGACAGCAGTCTGAAATTAGTTGCAGTTTTTTCATATCACCATGTACATATTATGTTTGAACTGTTCTCAATAATTTATATATTGTTTTACTAATTTAAGGATGAAAAAGGTAAAGGAGACTACAGAGTTTTTCAAATAGCCTTCCCCTTGACTATAATCGTTTCAAAGAAATGAGAATGGTCCATATCTTAAATCTAGATCCCATAACACATTAGACAAATGAAAGTTTCTAGGTAAAATAGTTTATCTGGAACTTTACACATTTTTTGCAATTGCTTTAACAACCATATCTTCATGTACATAAACTATATCTATGATGATCAGCGATCTTGTCTGCTGTTGTAGTGTGTCGAGTGAAAGTAAAGTGGGACAAATGCAATTATTATTGCATTTTTATTGCAATGGCTCGGATTGCATTGCATTGGAAAATTACATCTTTGTAACCGAGGAGATACCAACACCAACGTAAATATCTCTACCAACAGCAATTTACCTCCCCTGCCACCGGCCGGTCGTCACAACATTTGATTGTAACATAAAACAGGAAAGTTTTTCTATTCTGACAACATCAATGGCAGCAACAACAGCGGTGGTTGCAAGAGCAGCGGCAATAGCAACAGCTTAGCGTCGACAACATTAGGAGTCAACTTATGTATCACACACACACACTCATACACGGACATTCTGGCAGACAGGTAATCAGACAAGCACAATGTTATAGCTGTTTCACTTCATGAGATGTAGAT